GGTGTAATTATGGTGCGGAAATTAGGCAGTGCGCTCGGCGTCCCTTATGTTGGATTCGGATCTGGAATCTGGATTTTGACCTGTCGGGGTGAGTGGTAGGTAGTTTTTATGATGGGTACTAACCATGTCTGCCTAATGTGATTGGTACGGCCCGGCCTTGCTTGGACCATTGCTTTGGACCCAATCTATCATTCAAGTTGGGCTACTTCTTCATTCTTCCTTTCTACACGTAAAAGCCCAATCAATTGTTTACAATACACCAGGGTAATAACCCCGGACCGTTATATAATAATTCATTATCACTATATAAAATAATAATTCATTGTCCATTAACTCATAAAACGAAAAATATATATAATATTTAAAAACTTATAAATTATCTAAAAAATTTAAATAAATTATTATTTTTATTACATATAATTAAAATTTTCATATTATTATTTTAAATCAAATAAATTTTTAGAATTAATAATTAATTAATTATTATTAATTAAAATATTATTTTTTAATGTCATAAGCTTGAGGTAAGATGTTAAATGTTATAATAAAAAATAATATAATATATTAATATAATATAATAATATAATTATTTAATATTTTTATTTTTTATGTTAATACCAGAAATGATAAATATTTTAATTAATAATAATTAATCAATAATTAATTATATATATTTATTTGATTCAAATAAAAATATAAAAATTTAATTAAATATAATAAAATAATAAAAGTTTATTTAAATTTGTTTAAATAATTTAATAATTTTTTTAAATATTATATAAAAAATAATTACAAGAAGATTACTTTGGTAAAATTAACTAAAATTTCAAGTGCAAATGCTCAAAACTCATTTCAATTATTTCTAATTTTATTACAAAGCTAATTATCCTTATGAGAAGGCATCTGTAACAGATCCAAAACATCAAAATCCCCAAGGAACAGAACCAAAATTAACGTCTCACTGCCATGTTATTAGCAACTTTTTTTTTCTCCGAAGAACCCCAGAGATTAGATATTTGCAAGTCTAAGTGGATCTTTGGGGATTTCCCACAACAAGAGGCCCATTTATCCCATCCTTTGCAGGCCCATCCCGCATACTGCACCCATCAAGAACGGCCGTCAGCTGGAAAGGCGGAGCATCACTGGCCAGCCACTGATCAACATAGAACACGGTCTGGCTGCAAGCCTTGTGAGGCCCCGAGGAGGTGACCTCGACATAGTCACAGTACCACCGTGGTGCGACCCTGAGCCGTCCGAGGTCAAGTTGAGGTGGCAGATGGGCGAGCCGATGCAGCGGCCGCGCCCGCTGAAGATGTCAAGGTTGCCACGCTCGTAGTAGTCGTGGGAGGGTGTCATTAAGCCCCATGACTTGAGATCCGAGACCCGAACTGAGCGGCCCAGTGAGTCACCTAGAGTTACGCTGATCTTTGAATCCGTCCCGGCTTTGATAACAGAACCGGTCTTCACGTAGAGGGTGTAGACGCAATCATTCTGCATTGAGAAACCAAAACGTTATGATCACGAGACGTTCGCACGCATCATTAGTTTTTTCATGATCGATCTGGACAAAGCAAAACGAGATTGTAATCCCATTAAAAGAATGCAACTGGAGACCATTAAAAAAGGAACTTAGACAAGAACAAAATGTGGACAAAAGCAATAGAAGATCTAAGCAAATATTGCACTAGATCACATACATTGGAAATAAATAAATCCATTTTAAGTATACTCACGCTGGAGTCGCCGGCAGCGATTGAGAAAAGTAGAACAAGCAAGATTAAAGAGAGCCGATGCTCTTTCATTTCTTTCTCTGTTGGAGTGACTGAACTGCAGCAAAGCTCAGGATGCGGTTTAAGTATGGAAGCAGGCCGGTATTTATAGCAGGGAGTAGGAGAAAATTAATATAGTTAAGTACTACCATTTTCTTTTAGGGTTAGCAGGTGTGACCAAATTAAAACCACCGATATTCCGGAAAGGAATTACAGTAAAGTTAAAGAAATATACTTTTAGGACATATTCCTTTGAAATTAATATATTTTCACATGGATGTTGGAGATCTGTGGATTATGGGTTGGTGGGTTTTGAATTTTGATCATGATTAAGGAGATAATGAAGGTGACGACAAAA